AAGTACAGCGTCGACGATCCGGTTCAGATAAGGGTCTCCCGTAGTCAAACGTGGCAAATTTACAACCTTGTTAGAGCATAAAATAAGTAGCTGACGGAGGTCTTCGCTTAATCATTCGTTCTGAAACAGCTCAAGCGAGACGGTGCACAGCTATCTGTACGGATATTCGAACGACTAAAATCTACAATTTCTCCAATCATTACTATTTGTTGCTGTAAAAGCTAAATTTATATCAGTCATAATTGTGAATTATGCACTTTATAAATTATTGTTTATTTCTTCCAACATTCTCTTACTGTTCACTCTGTTCGCTCCATGAAAGATTTTCAAAAAAATATGAATTTTTGATAAACTATTGTGAAAGTACTGTGCGCGACAAAAGTTTTAAACTTAGGATTAATTTCAATTACTAAAAAAATCATATGAATAATTCTTTAACTTCCATTTTCTATGTTGAAGTTGCAGATAAACGGAAAAAAGTATTTTAATTTCTGATATTATTTTTCGCACCACCAATTTCTGCAAGTGCTTCTTGTCTTTCTCCTATTCTCAAATGTTGTTATCAACTCTTTAGTTAATTACATTGCCTTATCACCGTCGGCTAAGGAATTACAACATGTCTTAAACCGTTCTTATCACACTCCTATTGTTACGGTGTCCAATGCAGCTAGCTCTCCTCTCGTGTACTGTAGCCTAGCTTTTTCAGATGCGCTTGGGTTTATGCCTGGCCTTGGTGGCCGCTTGCTTCGCGCTTGATCGGGATGTCGGCTACCTTATGTCCAGGGAATCAAACGACGTAAGAAGATTGGATCACACATATTGTTTTCCAAGTCATATTACCCATCTTCTTGTTTAGGCCGCACAGTTGAGGTGTTATGTGGGTATCGTCAGTTCTTACAACAACACATCTATTGGAACGGAAGTAATAAACAAAAACCGTTGTAGTAACCTATACTAACCTGATCTTATGACAGGTTTTCTGCGATGGTCTCTGCGGTTCAATTTCAACAACAGCCGGAGGACAGGACTTCACCACCTACAACTGTTTCCCACAAAGTTTCTGCGCGTAAGAGCTTGCATACTGGAATCTAATGTTTATTGACAGAAACAGCATGTGATATAAACTTCTTCAGTGCGGCAAATCTAACTACCACCTGTACCACGATTTACGCAGACCGCAATCTGACAGGATGTTGTTGTAATACTGATAATTGTAACGTGCAAGGAACTAACATTAACACAACTATCCCTATTTCTCCTCCAGAAGAGCCTATCGTCTGCTATTCGGGTCTCATTGTCAATGGTAACCCCACGGCTGGATCAGGGTTAGTTTTTGAGAAAGTATTGTATGGATGACTACGGTCAGTATCGAATGTCTTAATCCTGGTGTTAGACAAATACCTTAGGCTAGTTTCAAAGGCCCTTTGACTCTCATAAAATACAGATACTTAAAAAGTGCGAGCCACCTTAACTCGTATAAAATATCGTTTGCTTCTATAGATCCGGAAAAAGTCAGTGCTTCTTCTAGTACGCAGAACTCTTGCAAGATTCAGCATCGCTTTAAAATAATGCCACGATTATCTCAGCGCATTCAGCGATAATCATAGCGAAACGATTTTAAAGACAAGCAAAGCGATATTGTAAAAAGAGACTCATGCCAT